CAGCAGCATTTGATGCTCCAAGACCAAAGGACGTGGATGTCCCACAGGAGCTGATGACAACTCTGCCATCCCCTCCCAACAAGCTCAAAAGAAAGAGAGGATTTCAATTCCATGTACAGCAACCTTTTATCCTGACATGTCCTGAATTAAATAGAAGCTTGACATGATTATTCCCAAAGCATGGAAAGCTAAACCATCACTGCTAATGCTGATGGACTTGTGTGTTTGTACATGTACAAGGACAGGGAACCACTGGAGTCTGAAACTTGACCTTCAGCAGCTCAGAGACAACTGCCACCAGCTGGGGAGGAACATGCTGATAGCAACAGGCAGCAAAAGTCAATCCCAATCCTCCTTGATTAGTCCCTAAAGCATTTATTTGGTTTAGAACAAGAACAATCACTCTTTTATCTGCATCAACACAAGCGGGAGAAAGTTAATTCCCAATCTGTTATCCAGAGAAAAGTGCTCAAAATAGAGACCAGGAGAAATAAAATTTCTTAGCTGTTCAGTGAAAATGTTAAATCATTACCTGCTCTCTCCCCCCTCCTCTGATCAATGCCAAATGCCAAGAAGTAGCAAACTTTGCACACCCTGGAGTGTGGAACTTTGCATGCCAAACAAATCAGCAGCAGAGGCAAATCAGTCATTTTGCTTTCCCTTCTTTTTCCCCTCTCTAAAACATCAACTCTTTGTTCTTCTCTCACTCTCCAGACTCCAAAATCCAATGCAGTGATTAGGACACCACTGACACATCTCAACCCTTCTCACCTGGCCAAGGGAGACCCTCCAAAACACCCCCCTGCCCATCTGATGGAGAGGGAGAGGGTGCCCAGGCAGTTTGGCTCCTCCAGTCCTTCTTCCCAAGGTCACAGCCTTGCCTGGCAGTGACTGCATTTTCCGACTCAACGAGCACTTTGCTTTCTCTTCCATCCTCCAACCCTTTTAATTGCTGCTTGATCTTAATGAAGTGTGGCTGATAGTCATAAATGGAAACCCTCACGGCCTCCACAGCCACCATGCAAACAGCATTGGAGGGAGTTAGCATCAGCCACCCCCATCCCCTCCATCCCCAGTCCCTCCTGTCCCTCTCCCTTCAGCCTCAAGACTGGAGACATCTGTTCCTCAATTGTCTGGTAATAAACATACTCTATAAAGCATATGTAAAATGATGATTACCCTGAGGAGCCAAGTGCCTTTCAAATGCCAGCTGAAACAAATAAACAGTAAAAAAAAGCCATCAAAAATCCCAACCAAACAAATGTTACAGCAGACATCACTCAGCCTGTTCCATATTCCACAACGGAATGGCTTCGGTGCTGCTCCCACTCGATTCCTTCCTCCAGCAGAAGATGGTGTTCCTCTCACCAGCACCACCAGTGCTTCCAGGATCCAAGCAGATGCTGGTGAGCAGTGAAGGATGAAGAAGGCAACTGGACTCTTTAGGTAACTTTTATACTTTGACACCTCCCATGATATGTAATTAAGGAAAATCAGATGTGTGTTCTGCTCCAATTTGGAAGTGCAATTAGTTTGCAGACGTAGTTAGGAAAAGCTATTCCCAGGAATCATCTCCACTAGAATACACACCTGACTTGCAAAAATTCACTCTTCATTTATTACGTGTGTGTGTGTGTGTGGTGTCATTAAGTTTTGGTAATTAATCTGGGGCTTGGTGGGTCTCAGTTGTCCTAGTGGAAATCAGGGACTCACATCCCAACTCTGCTTTGCTGCTTGAAATGAACCTGAGGGAAGGGAAGCTTTGAGCACCATTTGTAGGTCAGGTTGGCAGCAAGACTAGGGGAGTGATTGTTCCTCTGGATTGGGCACTGTTGAGGTCACACCTCAGTGCTGTGTCCAGTTCTGGCCCTCACTGCAAGGACAGTGAGGAGCTGGAGAGTGTCCAGAGAAGGGAATGGAGCTGGGGAAGGGCCTGGAGCACAAGTGCATGAGGAGGGGCTGAGGGAATTGGAGTGTTTAGCCTGGAGGAGGCTCAGGAGAGACCTTATCACCACCTACAACTCCCTGACAGGAGGTTGGAGCCAGGTGGGATCAGGCTCTGATCCCAGGGAATAAATAACAGGGCAAGAGGACACAGTCTCAGGCTGTGCCAGGAGTGGTTTAGGTTGGACATGAGGAAGAATTTCCTCCCAGAAAGGGTGATCAGACACTGGAATGTGCTGCCCAGGAAGGTGGTGCAGTCACCATCCCTGGAGGGGTTTAAGGACAGACTGGACGTGGCACTCAGTGCCCTGGTCTGGTTGTCATGGTGGTGTTAGGTCATGGGCTGGACTGGATGACCTCAGAGGTCTTTTCCAACATAACTGATTCAGTGATTCTGTTCTAAATTAACAGTTTCTCTACACAAACAGTGGTTACAGGAGATATCAGGGTTAATTTACAGCCCTGCAAACCCCTGTTCTTCCACAGGATCTGGAGCCAAGCTCAGCCTCAGTTTGTAAATAAAAACAGATCCAAAAATGTCTTTTATAAGCAGCAAACTCAGCCCTGTGCTTGTGCAGCTCTGATGTGATCGACAGTGACACTTCTCATATCAGGAGGACAAGGGAGAGACTCAAAGTGATGAATATGAATGCTCTGGTTACAACATTTCAGGCCCGAATTAGATTTTAAAGCCATCACTGACTGCTGTGCTCAGGCTTTAAATCATCACACCAGGGGTTGTTCTCTCAGTGATCCACTTAGCCTCATACTTCCAGAAACACTCAGCTTCCTAATAACATCAGCTAGTCCACACAGTGCTCAAGAGCCAACATATTTATGGGAAGTTGACAAAAAATAAGGAAAAAACCCCTTCTATATAAAATATTGATCATTCTGAATTCAAAGCAGGTTCATGTAAAGCTTGTAGGGGGGACATGGATGGAAGATGATGGAGACAGGTCATAAAGAACCCTGAAACAAAGCAAAGGAAAACTTCACCCCTGGGCAGGAATTACCTCCAAGAGAGTTGGACACTTAGCCCAGGAATGTCCAGAAAAGGACAACAAATATCTAACCAACAAGATGAGATGAGGACTCTATGATGCTATGTGCTCAAAGTTACTGCAAACATTGATCCAATTCACCACATTCAGCACTGTACAACAGACAGTTCCAACAGGAGTCAGTGGGTAAGGCAGTTTGCTGGAACAGGTCATTGCTGCCCCATCAGGAGCAGAATTCAATGCAGGGAATTACTACTATCACCAGAGGAATCCTATGACCATCCTATGCACATGCCTAAGCCATGGGTGAGGAGTTCAATCCAAGCCAGGGACTCACACATTCACTGTTGACCCTTCAAACCACTTAAACCACATTAAAATATTTCTTCCAGTCCTCAACTACCCCAACCTCAGCTCAAACTGCAGTGAGGAAAGGGCAAGTTGGGTCATGGCCCATTTTCCTCCTCTTCCTGCAGTTGGTTGTTGCTGAACTACTCGATGCAATGAAGTGAAGATGCTGCAGATGGTTGGCATGAAAAATATATTGAGCACAGACACCTTAATCTTGCTGCAATTATTGTTTACGAGGCAAATGATTTCTCCTGCCTCTCCTGCAGGTTGGTGATGGGAGGTGAAGTGTTTACAGCAGCACTCGTGGGACTCAGAGGGAGGAAAAAGGGGGGAAATCAAGCAGGAAGGCAAAAAGAAAGGAAGAAGTGTTTTCTCCAGATTCTAAATCAATGGGAAATAGCTCCTCAGTAAAAATAAGGCCTCACCACCCTCCTCTGTGCTAGCAAAACATCCACAAAGCGATTCAACATTCAGAAACCGAAGTCCATATCATAGTGGTCATGCCTTGAAGGGCACATTGCACCTCAATCTTCCACCATGTTCTCCCATAATAAAATGGCTGCAAACTGTAATTATACTGTAGCAAATCTAATTTTAGGTCATTTCTTTAGTTCCAAACAGACAGAGGTAGAAATGAATCATAGAATTTTAGGGGTTGGAATGGAGCTTAGGGATCGCCAACCCTGGCAGTGTTTCATTCCAGGTTGGATGAGCCTTGAGCAACCTGCTCTGGTGGGAGGTGTCCCTGCCCAGGGCAGGGGGTTGGGGCTGGGGCTGGATGATCTCTGAGCTCCATTCCAATGCCAATCTATGATTCCACAATTTTTAAGTGCTGAGAAGTCACAAATAACTACAGTTCTCAGCTACTGAGGCATCAGTCAGGATATTCCTTCCTCTGGGCATCACATGCCAATTATTTTTACTACCATTTTACTGTTGCTTGCTGTTTTCAGGATTTGAGGGAATTCCCCTGCTGCTAAGTCACTCACGACAGTGAGAAAATCAAGCAGAGCCAAGGAGGGAAATGCTCTCTAAAGGTGAAAGGAAGAGACATGTCTGATGGCAGAGGAAAACCCCTCAGGAAAAAGCAGAAGTGGAAGATTGACATGAACCAGGAAAAACATTGTATTATCTAATTCCAACAAAACCAACACCTTGAACTGTTAGACTGCACAGCAAAAAGAGCAAAAATCAAAGTATCCTAGGTGAGAAGAGGCTGATTACAGACTTGCTCTGCTCACAGTCCCAGCAGCCGCTGAGATGTGAAGACTTTGGTCATTTGGCACTTGGAATCAGGAATTCATTTGCAGTGCACAGACCACACTCGTTTCAGCAAAGGATGAACTCACCCTGCAGTTCATCAAACATCCTCTGACTTGTTAATCAGCAGAAAGGACAAGCAGTGATAAACAACCTGTGTCAAATAAACCTGACCCAGTCTGTGTCAATAACTGACACTGGGCAATGGAATGGGGTTAGCCAGGCAAACAATCCCACTTGGCACCACAGTTCAGTTTGAAAACGCTTAAAAACCATAGCCAAGAAGCTCAACCAGTGATTCCTTTAGTCCACATGTGCACGTCAACAACTTCAGAGCAAACCCAGTGCTCTGGGATGGATCTCAGAAGTGGCAACATCCCCATGGAGAAGGTAAATTCCACTCGTTCTGCAATTGTAGAAATCTGTAGGAACTTTCCTTACCTGAGGAGGGGATGGAAGATGATGGTGATGTTCCTGGCTCCTGGTTTGCAGACAAACTTGGATCCACCACCTTCAATTAAGTTATCATCTGGTCCTCCTGGAAAATAACATGAAACGAGTTGTCTAACACATCTCAACACCCCCTTGATTTGGAGATAGTAAGTGCTAATTAAACATTTAGCAAAGTGATAATTAAACATGAATTAAATGCTCCATTCCTGATGAAAGATCAGTAATTAATGTGAAGATCTGCTCTCTCCACCCTCTCTCTGCTCACAGAAGCACTGCTAAGGCAGTGGCAACAATACCAATGGTGTTTGTGCATTGCTTCAAGCTCCTCATTCCACAGTTGGTACTGCAGAAAGACACCAAGTCCAGGTCTCCTGTGGCCACGTGAGGACCTCCAGCCTGAAGTTTCAGTGGCTTTAGCAGCTCTTGGAACAGGCCAAACCCAATCCAGCACACCCCTATTCATCCTTTCCCCGAGGCAACAAGGACCTTCATCTCGTGTAACAAACACCCAGAGTCTTGTCCACGTGGCTCAGATGTATTTCGAAGGCCACAGTGGTTGGAAACAGCACTTCCTTGAGTCTTGCTGCATCCACGGAAGGTTCTGCACCTCTGAGGATGTCATGATTCCATCCCTGGAAGGGATCCAGCTCTGGATTGCCCCTGACCTGACATTGCACCTCATTTACTATACTTAACACTATTAGGACTCTCAGGACTTCATCTCCTACATGAAGTCTTGTTACTCCCTAGCAGAAATCTCTCTCTGCCTGAGTTCCAGCTGGGAACAAACAGGTTCTCAGATACAGGATAAAATGTGTTTATGAGTTTGACACAATCCTTTGTACAAAACACAATCCCCTCACTGCTGCTCATGACAGCATCAGAAAAAATCTGACTCTGAAATTAGCAGCAGTTGATGAGGTAACTAATCCCTTGTACTCTGGTCATGTTCCTCTGTCATCAGCACAGATCATCATCAGCTCAGAACTAACCCCATCAACCATGGCATGCTCTGGTGAAAAACCTCAAATAATCCCAAAATGAACCTGGGCAAAGTCTGCCCATCCCAAATATGATCAAGGTCTTTGCATTTTGCACATGAACTCTCCTTAATGATTGATAATAATAAATACAGAAGCTAATCACATTATCAGGACAGATTTAAAGGCAGTAAAATGACAAAGCTCTTGAAATCAAAACACCAGCAGCACATGACTGGAGGTTTTGACCCTGGCATTTGTCTGCCTGGAAACAGGAATGTCTCCACACTGGAAAGGGCAAGAGGAGCAACACAACTGAGGAGGAGTTCATGCAACCAATCCACAAAACAAAGCTCTCTGATCACTGGATTTATTTGACCCTCCTGTAGCAACCTCATAGCAATGTCCAAGGGAACTTGGCTCCTCCCACACTCTAAGAGGTCTCTCCAGGAGTGTTTCCTGCAGGAATTCCCATCACTGGTGTGGATTCCAAGAAGCTGTTTTGGTGTGACAGTAAAAGCTGTAGTACTGAGTTCCCTGTGGAGAGGGAAATCCAAGGAAACTCTGGATAGATATCCTGAGTTGCAGTTGTAGTATTTCTGCACCTGACTCAGCTCCAAAAGAAACCAGCAGGACATGAAGCCTCTTGCTCTATCCTACACCAACACCAGGACTCAAGAAGAAGCACAAAGCTGCTGGAGACAGTTTACTGAACCTCACTGATTCCATATGGAAAGAGGAAGCTCTTAAACAATTCAGGGATTTCAGTTTGCATCCCAAAAAGTGAATTTGCACAATGTGACAGGTGAAGAGTGGAAGAAAAGAGGAACAAGTTCAACGGGAAGAAAATGATTCCTTTCCCTGTTCATGTCAGATGCTGCAATCTCCAGTGGGGTCTGTGTCCTAAGAGACTCAGAGAAGAAATCATCCAGGCAGGAGGTGCCGAGGCATGAACGAGGGAATCCAGGCTCAAATTAAGGGAAGGTGTTACTCCTGTTGCAGCAAGTCACCCTGCACTAATCAATGTTATTGACTGGGCTGAACTCCACAGCGAGGAACCAAACAATCTGTCTGATCTGCTCAGTCACATCAGGATAGATCTGAGAGGAACAGAGCACCAGCACAGAGAGAAAAATACGTTTCTACATCTTCTTAGCTCTTAGGTTTCAATTAATAACCAGGAAAGCTCTGCAGCTAGGGGCAAGCTAAGAGAAAAAATAATTTTGTTTGCATTTACATATTTTATCTCCAAAAATACACTGAGATGTAAATCTTATTCTTGGGAATGCTTTGTGCATACCAACTGCAACCCAGAGGGGCAACAGCTCTTGCCTCCACTGCTCCTCTTAACTACCTCTTCCTGCCAGGAGCTGAAGGGTGGTGAATGACACTCATCCAAACAAACCAAGGCCAGGCAGCTCAGCAGAAATGAGGCAGCAGAGAATCAGGGAATGGGTTGGGTTGGAAGTGTCAATAAGGATCATCTTGTTCCAACCCCCTGCCATGGGCAGGGACACCTTCCACTAGAACATGCTGCAGGTGAAGGAAAGATGCTGATCTCTTGGAGAGAGTCCAGAGGAGGCCATGGAGATGCTCCAAGGGCTGGAGCAGCTCTGCCCTGGAGCCAGAATGGGAGAGCTGGGGGTGTCCACCTGGAGAAGAGAAGCTCCAGGGAGACCTCAGAGCCCCTTCCAGTGCCTCAAGGGGCTCCAGGAGAGCTGCAGAGGGACTTGGGACAAGGGATGGAGGGACAGGACACAGGGAATGGCTTCCCACTGCCAGAGGGCAGGGACAGATGGGAGATTGGGAAGGGATTCCTGGCTGGGAGGTGCTGAGACACTGGCACAGGGTGCCCAGAGCAGCTGTGGCTGCTCCATCCCTGGGAGTGTTCCAGGCCAGGTTGGATGTGGCTTGGAGCAACCTGGGCTGGCGGGAGGTGCCACTGCCCATGGCAGGGGTGGAATGAGATGACCTTTAAGGTCCCTTCCAACCCAAACCTTTCCATAACTCTATGAAGAGTGGAAAAACCACCTTTTTCCTTCTCCTTACACATGTGACCACCAGAGCCGCAGTTTGCAGAGCATCTCAATCAAGAGCTAAGCAAGCACTACACACTGTCCTCAACACGTGCCACACACACATGAGCAGACTGCAGGAGAAGAAAACTATCTGCCTCATTAGAGAGAAGGAGCTGTAAAGCCTAATTCCGAGTGAGCACTGAACATTTCCAACTGCATGTAAGTGCTCAACGTTATTGCCATGACAGCTCAGCCTGAGCTCTGAGCACAGGACTAACCACCCGTGTTCACTGGTGTACAACACCTGACGTGCTCTGCACTCCAGTCACCATCTGCACTGAGCACAGATCACTGCTCCAGAGATGCCACACTGTAGGAATCTTTCACTGGGTTGTAAGGTTTGGGGTTTTTTTATCCATCTAAGTCAAGAAAGTATAATTCCACATTTCATACGCACTAGGAGAACAACCTAAACTTTCACAGCTGTCACAAAGAATCACAGAATATCCTGAGTTGGAAGTGACCACAAGGATCACTCATCCAACTCCTGACCCCACACAGACACCCCAACAATGCACCCTGTGCCTGAGAGTGTTATCCAAACACTCCCAGAGCTCTGTCAGCCTTGGGGCTGTGCCCACTGCCCTGGGAGCTGTTCAGTGCCCAAACACCTCTGGGGGAAGAACCTTGTCCTGATACCCAACCTATCCCTCCCTGGACACCACTTCAGACCATTCACTCAGGTCCTGTCACTGGTCCCAGAGAGCAGAGCTCAGTGTTGTTCCTCCACTTTCCCTCCCACTTGTATGAGTTCTCCTCTCAATCTCTTCTTCTCCAGGCTGAACAGCCTAAATGCCTCAGCCACTCCTCACGTGGCTTCCCCTCAAGTCCCTTCACCATCTTCTTCCCTCCTTTGGACACTCTCCAATACCTTTCTTACACTGTGGTGCCCAAACTGCACACAATACTCATGGTGAGGCTGCCCCAGCACAGAGCAGAGCAGGACAACCACCTCCCTCTGACAAGGCCTTGCCTGATGCCCCCCAGGAGGACATGGTTGGTTCTCCTGGCTGCCAGGGCACACAGGTCCCTTTCCAGCCTCTCATTCCCCAGTCTGTAGGCACAGCCAGGGTTGTCCCATCCCAGGTGCAGAATCAGCACTTGCCCTTGCTAACCTTCATAAGGTTGGTGATTGCCCTCTAACTTGCCTAGCTCTCTCTGCAAGGTCTCTCTGCCTTCAAGGGAGTCAACAGCTCCTCCCAGTTTTGTATAATCTGCAAATTGATTTAACATCCCCTCAAGTCCTGCATCCAAGTCATTTATGAAGAAGTGGTAGAGCTCTGGGCCTAAGCTGGAGCCCTCTGGAACCCACCAGTGACCAGTGTAGCCTGATGTAACCCCAGTCACCAGAACCCACAAGTCAGCTGCTCACCCATCACCTCATGCTGGAGCAGTTCCTTCTACAGGAGCAGAGTTTGCTGATTTAATCCACCTGGTAATATATCAGAAGGCAAAAAAAAACCCACCCCAAGTTTGAGGAGCAGTGAAATTTGCCACAGAGCTAATGACAGCCTCATGCTGTGCCAGCAATGAGGTGTGCCCACCTGAATGCCACTGCAAGGGGAAGCTGGAGTTGGGGCCATTAGTAATGCAGCTCAGTGTTCCTCAAATGAAGCCTAAAATGTCAGACTTCAAGATGAAAAAGCATCAGATTAGCAAGAAAGTTGCAATCTCTGCACACAGTGAAAGTCTGAGCAAACAGGAGGAGTGTTTGGAGTTTTCTGTTCTGCCTTGTATGTTAAAAATGTAAATATTCAGTATGGATATCGGAGGTTTAGAGACAATGGCATAAAAAATGTGGAATGGTTTGGGTTGGAAGGACCTTAAAGATCATCTAGTTCCACTCTCCTGCCCTGGGCCGGGACAGGTCCTCATAAGATCAGGTTGCTCAAGGCTCATCCAGCCTGGCCTTGAACACCACCAGGGCTGGAACAGCCACAGCCTCCCTGGGCAACCTGTGCCAGTGTTTCCAGGTTACTACACTTCACTTTCCCAACAGAGGAACTGAGATGGTGATGCCAATGTTC